CCCCAAAACCCCAAAACCCCAAAACCCCTGATAAATAAAAATAGGTTGAAAGATATTTTACAAAAAGTATGGCCGAAAATTAAGACATTATAAGAGATCTCAATACTTTATATTTCTTGAAAATACATATCAAAATTTAAAAATTACAAAAGAGTATAGTAATTTGGAAGGAGTAAAAACAACCTTGAAGATTTGAGAAACATCTAAAGCTGAATTTAAAATATTAATGAAATTTAACTAGAAATAAGCTGTTCTCTTTACTCTATTTTTGTCTTGCTAACTTGCATATCTCAAAACTGCCAACATGAAATTCTATCTTATGCACAGAGTGCAAGGAGATAACTCCATGGCTCCATCAAAGACAATATTTTGGTTCGATTCTATTTTATAGACAACTCAAAAGTATGGAAAGTTATCTCCTAACAAAGAGGAGTCACGCTAATTTTGTTGTGGTATCAATTAAGGATATAAGATAGTCCCAACTACAAAATATATACAAAGTCTACTTCATTAATTTTCATCATTATTTTAACAACACCAAAAACCCCTTCCATAAGGCCAAAACTCCCTCTCATCCCCCACACATCTAACCCCTCTCAAGCCACTATCCTACCACCCACCACAACCCCTAATTCCATTCTCAAAATCTCAACCCCTCTTTTTCACAAGTAATCCTAAAATTTGTACCTGGTTTACTTCTTCTAAAACTCTAATTTCGAAAGGGCTGTAGAGATTGAGAAGAGACTGGAAATCTCTGAGAGGTAGGGGATGGGGTGGCTAAGTGGAGAGATTGGGAGAGGGATGGAGGAAGGGGTTTGGTGGGGTTTTGGAAGGAGTGGTTTGGGTTGGGGTTAAGAGTGAAAAGTAAGATTTTTTGGGGTTTGAATGTGTTATTGGGTAGGTGGGATGGTTATTAGGAGATAGGATGGAAATAACACGTTTTTGTAACTGAAAAGCAAAAGAAAAATTGTAAGGAAGGAATCACTTAATTTTATAAAGGATTCACAATTAATAACATATCTGAATTATCTGACTGTGTAATTTTAATACCTGTTGAAAAAATTTACCACCCAAAAGAGAGCATTATTCTCCAAATAATCAGACTAACATTTATAGATTTTCAAATTAAGACGAATCATCATCAGAATCCAATCCTTGATCCTTCCTTGTTTTCCTTATATGGGCATATGATTTCCTAAATTCTTAACACACTGCAACTTACTCTAGATTGACTTCCTGTTCTTTGCTGATCACTTTATTCTGAGCCTTTGGGCGGACTGACTCAGTAGGCACTTGGAAATAGTCTTCCCTCATATCAATGGCTTTTGTGAAGTCTTCTTTCTTTTCTTTATCAAAGTCAATTCTGCTTTTATTTATTAAAGAGACTTGCTCTATAAAAATTAAGTTATTAATTTCTTGGAAAATAAAGAAAATAGGAAAGAATAATCTACTTACTCATTGTTGCCATAAGTTCCTCATTAGTCATATCCGGGTTATAACTGAAGTTATTGTAGACCACTTCTCTATGATCTTCATTCATATGAGCGAAGAATTTAATTTTGACTAGTTGCATCATCCTTTTTTCGAACACTCTTTTTCTGTCATAAGCAATCAGACTGTATCCTCCATAAATTAAGACTAAGTATGGGAAAATCCACCCTTCATAAGTCCCCATGAAGATATTGAATAAGATAACGAAGAAAGCATTTAAGGTCACAAAACAAGCTGCCTTTGCAATCTTTCTTTTAGATGCTAGATACACGAACGTTCATACATTGAAGGCGTCAACAATGATTCTGAAAACCCAAATAGTAGCTATATCAAGAAGTCCAAATTGATAGGTAGGGCTGAAAAATGGAGGACTTGGCTCATTCCAATATTGGAATGAATAGTACGCAAAAGCATTGATAGTAGCTATGGTAGAAGCCCAAAATGCAATGTTAAACACACCAAGGTTTCCCTTCAGCACAGCAAATCTCAAAGCAATACCTCCCATTGCAGGTGTAGTTACTTGAATGACAATAAAGAAATTTTTGAAGAACCTCTGATCGCTTTGTATATTGTAAATTGTTGCATACATCAGTACTGCAGTTACTCAGAGGGATGATCCAATAATTTTCCTGACAGTCCACCTATCAAGCCCAAGTATAATTATCCCACAAAGAACGAAAACAGGAAACAAGGGCTGGAATAGCATCATAAATGGCAATGTAAAAACACCCGAATTCTTTGCAATCAATTGGAAGTTCAGAAAGACTCCCAATGTTCCTGAAACAACAATAAAATGAAAGTCTTTTTTACCTGGGAATTTAAGCTGTCTCTTGAGGAGAGCCATAATGAATATAAATATTGTGATCCATAGATGACGATGGAAGAAAGTCAAGCTTCTCCTAGACCCTAATTGTGTATTCATAAACCCATTAGAAAAGCTGGCCATTCCTGCATTAGCAAACTGGTTCAAGAACATCAAGGCATTGATCATACTGTCGAAGGTCATATACGATACGACCAATTCCTTGCTCACATTTGATATTTTCATGATTCTATATAATATTATAGATATGGGGTTTTGGGGTTTTGGGGTTTTGGGG